GACGAGAGCGAAGACGACAACGACGACGGTAGTGGTAGTAGTTGTTGTAGTAGTCGTGGTCGTCGTAGTAGTAGTAGTAGTAGTAGTAGTAGTAGTAGTAGCAGCAGCAGTAGTAGTAGTGGTGGTGGTGGTGGTGGTGGTAGTAGTAGTAGTAGCAGCAGCAGCAGCAGCAGTGGTAGTGGTAGTGGTGTAGGCAGTAGCACTAGCACTAGCACTAGCACTGGCACTAGCACTAGCACTAGTGCCAGTGCCAGTACCAGTAGCAGTGGCAGTAGCAATAGCAGTAACAGTAGCAATCGCTGGAGCAGTGGTAGTACGACGACTAGTGATACCACCCAGCATTGGGGCAGCAACACGTCATGCAGCTATTCGTAATTGTTCGTGATAAGAGAACAGCATCTTGACAGTTTGAAAGTGTCGCCCTTGATAAACAGGGTTTATGGAGCACTTTAGTCCAGGGGGAGACACGGCGAGTCCGCACATTCGGCCAAGGAAGGAGTACAAGCAGGAGTTGCTGGCCAGCAGGACTCGCTCGGCAGCATTCCGCCTGTCCTCACCTACGGGGATGTGAACCACCAGCTTGGTAAAAGCCTCGCTCTGCATGAAGCGAAGAGAAGCAACTCCTAGAAGGTCCTCGCCCCAAGCCCAAGCCCTTCCTGGATGGCAGGCAAAAAAAAGAAAAGCTGTTCCAGAGCGGAAAAGTGAAGCCAGTGCCTGGCTAGGTGGAGTGCCCCAGTTACGCCGTGAACTAACCAAGCAACTACTTGTACCGCAGCACACTGGGGATGCAGCCCTGCTCTGCTGACATGGCGCGGGTCCTAGCTGCACAGCTTCCGCCGAGCAGGGGCGCCGTGTGGCCCCATGGGCATTCGCGTGCAGAGGCCGCCCGCTGTACACTTCCATTGGCCTCAGCCCGGCCTCAGCGGCCTTGGCCGTGTCTGCTTTTGAGAAAAGGCGCGGTTCCTCGCTCCTCTTCTGGCCGACGGGAGGTGCTGAACAAATTACTTGATTTGGGGCTCCAGGGCCTCTTGACCCTCAGCACGGTGGCGCTCTTCTTCGTGTGGGCTGGGAGCACGGCCTTCCAACGGGGGCTGGTAGAGCTGTCTGTGCAGCTCTTTGACGCAGCATCCGCTGTGGGCTACCCATCCGCTTTGCTTTGGCAGAGGGGCATCTCTTTGTACTACTCAGGCCGCTACGAAGATGGGGCGGCACAGTTTCGCAAGGACGCGGATGTTAATTCCAGCGACACGGAGGAAGCGGTCTGGGCCATGTTGTGCGAAGCGCAAACCTTCGGCTTTGCTTCAGCCCAGCAGCGGATGTTGCTCGGCTTTGACCAAGCCCGGTGAATCGTTCGAGACAGAACGTGGAAGCCTAACGAAGAACCCCCTATATGAAGCTAAAGTCCATAGCTGTAGTTTCATAGTTGTAGCAGCATTGTGGCTGACTGAGGATGGGGGTCGGGAAGGACCCCAGGTCCATCATGCGGCTCGTGTCGGAGCTTTTCGAAGGCGCCGAGGATGCGAAGCGTCAACTGGAAGCCATAGCATCTGTGTCACCTGGGGACAAAGACTCCTTCTATTCGGCACTGTACTTGGGTCTTTTCGAGGAGTCACAAGGTCGCTTGGATTTTTTGGGAAGCTTCTTTCCCTGTGTTTGTGTCAGGAAGCTTTTCCCGACCTTGCTAGGAGTTGTCACCTCTAGGCCTTTGCCAGCTTCCGACATGTAGCGAGCCGTGCATAACTTAGGACACGACCAGACATCCCTGCAATGGATCCGACGTTCACTTGATACCCGTTACGCTGAAGGCAGCTTCGATTACATGGTCGATGTAGCTCGAGTGCACTTAAGCCAAAGAACGCCGATGTGATCGTGTGGGCGAGTGGAGAAAAGTGCACAGCGGCAGCACAGCTGCCGGTCGTTTTTCTTGGGATAGCTTTACCGAAAAGCCTTGCAAGAAATCGGATGAGGACCTTGGTTCGCAACGTGCAAGCGCGGTTGAACCGAGAAGGCCGTGTCAGTTCTGCACAGCCGGGCCGCTGTTGTCTACTCAAAGGGTCCTGGGAAGGCATGCTGCGCGGCTCGGCGAACCTTGATGAGAAGGCACGCGCAAAGCATTTGGGAGCCGTGTCTATCGCCATCAATCGCAGCATCCATTCAACAAACAGGCGTGCGAACAAACTGCGATTGCTTGGGGCTGCGGGCATCTTCTGATATGAAGGCAATGATCCAGTCTGGTTTCGATCGCAATGCGGAAAACCTCCAAGCGCAAGAGGGCCGCAGCTGTTTTTGGCAAATCCATCGGCACAGGCCTAGGACGTGAACTGCACCAGAACCCAGGCGCAGCGAGATTCGGCACAGCGGCTGAGGGCCGGTGCCCGCCGCCTGGAGGCCGCGCCTGAGAAACCTGACTTGTAGCTACTTGGGACAGGTGGACTCGGATCCTGATGCTTGCCGTAGACAGGAGCCGAGGAGAAGTTTGCGCCATGCTTGTCGTCAGGACTCCCGACGGACGGCTTTGGAGGCTCTCGTGGCACTGAGGGAGGAAATTTTCTAGAGGTTTTAGGGGGTCCTGTCCGCTCAGCTGGCAGGAGCATACGAATGCTCAATACTCTCCAGGCCGAGAGCATTGGCATGGACGTGATGTCCGAGCTCACCGACCAGCGGGATGCACTGAAGCGGACGAAGGTGCGGAATCAGCAGTGTACAGTCTTGTCCAGTAGAAGTGGGCCATCCGGGACCCGGGAATCAGGACCCGCAGCAATGCAGTCAGTTTGATGACATTGGACAGATTGTCGTAATGCGATTTTTCGTGTTACGGTCATGTTGTGCTGTTCCGATTGCTCGCGGGGTGATGGTGATTACGAAATTGCTGGGCAAGGTAAGTGTGGAACGATCCAGTAGCGTACGTTCTTCATTGAGGCTCATGTCTTCATTCACTTGCATGTCAAACTGTCGTCTAGCACAGAGCATGACAATCAGAAGCCCCATTTGCTGCACTAGCGCGCGAAGATAAGCGAATTTCAGAACGCAGCAATACTGATGGTGGCAATACTGGTCTAGTGATGAGAGTAGTTGCAAGGGTGATAGTAGTAAGTAAGGGCCGTGGTATAGCTAATGTTGTGCCGATGGGCCGATGGCAGAACGACCAAGAATGAACGCCCACCCGCCCTACCAGCATCAACATTTTGTCAAGAACTAGCCTCCGCCGTGCTCAAAGTGGGCACCCCAATTTTGGAACAGTGTTCGTGGCAAACACCTTGATGCTTCCGCTTGGACGTCACCGAACTCCCAACCTTGTCCTTATTGTTGCCTGGCGCATGTCACTTTGTTGTGCCAGGGCCATCTGCATGACGTCGACGATCACCTTGGCACGTCCAAGATGTTCTTGTCGACGATGTCCCGACGCATGCAGGGCAATCAGGCAACTGGGCATGCTGATTGGGGTGCACTCCCATTGCAACTGGCGTGAATTCTCAACTCGACAGTGCTTCGGAGAGACAGACATAGGCCCATCATGCTTTGCGAATCTATTCGGAAGGCCATGGTGTGGTGCTTGGCAATCGTCCTGTTCATAATTCTGGCAGCATGTTGGCATTTTGGAAGATTCCACGAGCATTTTCCACGCGTCGTCGAGGATTTCGTGTTATCGATCTGCATTGTTTTGACTCCACCTGTGCCTGGGGTGCCGAACGAACCGAGGTTTTTCTGATTTACTTGAAACTGCAGAAGCTCGTGGCTTTCTTTAGATAGATGTGGTGGATGCGTGGCAAAGCCACAGCACCGCGGTGAGAATGTGTAGATTTGTGCTTGGGCCACTTCGGCTGCACAGAACCCAGACAGGCAAAGAGAAAGGAGCGGAGTCAATCTTCAGAGATGGGTGCAGGGTGCAGGGGTGCGTGCCTTCTCCACTGTGTTGAGAATTGCGGAGAGTTGGAGTTGGAGCATTGGTTTCTTGGTTGCTGCAGCTCGGCTTAGGCCCAGGCAGGGGCGGCCGTCGGGGCATTCCGGCCGTTGCCATGGCCTGGAACGCTGCGGAAATCCGGGAATGGGCCGCACGCGAGTGCCTTTCGAGGCGCATTGCGGCGAAGGCTGAAGAGCTTGAAGACTTGGGTGGTCTCAAGGCCATCACTGACAGCTGGCTATGTGCGAATGGAGTGACTCTTCTGCCAGCGCGCTCGCGCGCCCTGACGGCGGCGAAGGCGGCACTCCATCCAAAGAAGAAGGCCTTCAGGCTTGGCCGAAGGGGTGTCATGTTTCTCGAAGCCCAAGATGCGGAAGTTTTCCAGCGCCGCCGACCCGGCCGGCAGTGCCGGCAGCCTGAGGTCACAGATCAAGTCGTGGAACGCCGCCGGCCACACCGGCGTGTAAACCGCAACAAGAAGGAGTCTCGCCCTTTGAATGGGCTCCCTCAGCGGATTGAGGAGGAGGAGACAGACGCGGAACTGGGGACGGGGACTACTGAGAGACCCACTGAGCCAGCAAGTAACCAAAAGTCATGTTTCACCAGCACTTCTGGCAGTGCTACACCACCTGTTCCGTCTTCGGAGACGTCGTTCTGGTGGACCTTGCTCTGCCGGACGTTCCAGGTCTTCACCCCCGAAATGGCGGTTCAAGGGCCATTGATGAACATGCCCGTATAGCGGCATTCTTGTGTCAAGCTGAATCTAGTCTTGACTCTGCACTGTACTCTTGTGTCATCTTGCGTAGATTCTACTTTTGACAGCTCCACCTGGGAGTGTGTACCGACAGCCTTTGAAAGCTGCCGTTCCGTCGTCTCCGTGACATCAGCCACTTTTGAAGAAAAGCTTGCAGATGCGCCCTGGAGAAGGCACCATGTAGTTTGCAAGGCAGTCTATACGATCTGCAGCATTTGCAGAAGCGGGCAATTTTGAGGGCTTTTTGCAGCATGGGGGCGCGGAAGGCCGGGAGTGGGACCTCTTCTTCAAAACCCCGACATCCGACATCTCCGACATCGCCTTCGCCGATCGAGGTGGGCCTGCTGGGTGCGGCGGGCGCGGTCTACGGCTCGGATTTCCAAACGCCATCCCACCGGCTGCGGATGGTCTGCAACAGAAGAAGTAGTTTTGTTTCTCCAAGGTTTTGCTTGCAGTGCTCTGTTCCGCGACAGGCTCGCGTGCTTGTGTTTCGTTTCCTATGTCTCCTCGGATTGAACACTTGATCAATGATAATTACACTATCTTGGACTGGCGACTGGGCTGTGCACATGCGTAAGTCGTCAAGGTTCAGGGGTCATGACGTCTGGCTATGGGAGGTGGCTTCAATTCCAATTTGGTGATGTGCAGTGCTCCAAAACCTCTCACATTCCGCAATAACAGCTGATGCCCACTCCGCCGTAGCTCATGTGTAACCCTGCCGCGTTTGATTCCGGCAGGCGCTTCGACGTCCGACCCTCGAAATGCTCGGAGTATGTCAGACGAAGCAATGAGACCCAAGAGACTTCTCGGTTTTTTCGGGTGTTTTTCGGGCCACAGTGGCTCGAATTCTCTGAGGTTCCTTGGCCCGTCTCGGGCCCGAAGCGCCGCTTGGCCTGAGACTGGAGACTGTTGGAGACTGGGGAGCCCAGATTGGAAAGTATTGGAATAAAGTAACTGTGATAAAGCCTTCACGTTGCACAAGCTGCGTGAAAAGCTAAAGAGTAGATATCTTTGCAGAATTGCAAACTGTTTCCTGGCCGTCTAACTTGCAGACGAAGCCTGTTACGAGTCATACGGTTGCCACGTTTGGGGCTCCCTGCACTTAGGCATCTCGCATCGTGCGCCAGGCGGCTTGGCGGGGGGCGGATGGGCTGTTGCGCTGTTCAGGACCGCAGGATCAGACTTCTCTTTAAGTCAAAAGCACAGGCCTTCAGTGCGCCTTCTCCGACCCTAAATCACCTAAACTATACAGGTCTAAACACCCTAAACCGGAAACCAACAGCGGGCTCTTTGGCCAGGCAGCACCGGCCAGTGTGGGTAAGCCAAAAGATGTGGGACACCTAAACCTGTGCCGCGTGTCTGCTGGACTCGACAAGACATCAGGGGGACTGGTTGCTTCGTTCTCAGAGACTTGGGCTGAGTCGCAGTGTTGAGCCATTTCCTCGAAGTGCCTGAGCTTATGCAGATGCTGCCAAGAGCAGTCAACCCTAAGGCCTCCTTACAGCCCGCACTGCTAACTTGCTGCCCTTGGAGGCTCGCATTTTGGATGACGAGGACATGCTCTACTCGGAGGAGGATGAGGCATACGGCAAGACAAGACTGTCCAGACGACTGTCCAGACATAGCAGCACTGTCGTCTCGTCATAGTCATCCTGATAGTAACTTTGTATACTTATAGTATCACATAATAATATGTATAGTCATCTTTTCGGAGCCTTCATTAAGGTACTCGTAACCCGAAGCACCGTGCGAGGGTGCCCTCACACGGGTTATCTGAAGCCTCCACTTGGAGGGTCGGGAACTCTGTAAGTAGGTGGCAAGTAGATGTTCAAGTTTCCTGAAAGGCATCCTAACTGGGGCTAGCATCAGTCCACCGACCCTCCGAGCAGCTGCAGTATGGCGACGAGTTCGACGAGGAGGAGGGTGACTACATGGAGCTAGATGGGCGTTGGGCCAAGAAGCTATACCGAATACCATGGGATGCTATACCGTGACATGCTATACTATATTGTACTGTGAAGCTCTGCTGTTGTAAAGTCCGCTCACAGTTCGACCATCAGAGTTGCAAAGGCCTCCTCCGGAGGTCCTGGATGGCTGGGAGAAGGACGGTGTGCCTGAAGTTTCGGAATGGAGAACCCACCAGAGAGGCCTCCCAGACTTCCCTTCCGCGTCGTGGACTCTTCACAACAGGCAACCCTCAAAGTCTGAAGCCCGAAGCTGTCCCACACCCTAGAGTCCTTGAGGCCTGAACCCCAAGCCCTAAGCCTGAGAGCCTTTCAAGGCAAAGCTCGGAGGAGCGAATCCTCGGCCCTGGCACCTGGCACCGCCTGGCATCCGCAGGATGAGATGGCCATGGCCCTCCTGGCGAACTTCCAGTCGGAGGAGTTCGAGGGCAAGGTGAGATCGTGGAAGCTTTTTTCCTTTCTGTGGCAGAATCCTACTGTTGCTGCTATAGTGTTTGTGGTATATGTTGCCGTCTCGAAATAAGGGTGAGGAAAGCTTTCCCGGGGCATGATGCTGGGGTACTCGCTAAAGTAGAACTGTAAAGTGATGCTTTCGATGGAGGGTGGCCAGCAACAGTAAGCGATACCTTGCTGCATACAATCTGTCGCGTTCCCTTGGCGCAGAAAGTGATGAGTTTCCGCGATGTGGCTATGCTCCTGGAAGTCCTAGGCGGGACACCCAGGCCGAGATGCACAGAGTGTGGGATGGGGCAGCCACGCGAGTGTCGGGATCACCACATAGCAAGCAGCCAAGCAGTCCCCTCATTGTTCGAACCGTCCTGTAGCGAGCGGGTTGAACGTGTCAAACTCGAAAAACAGTCGAAATTTCAAAGTCTCAAGCTTCCGAGCTCGACTGGCTGCTGGCCGCGGCCGAATTCGATCTGCTCTCGAACAGAAAGGTCAAGGTTTGAGAGGTTCGAAAATTTCGAGCTTCAATTTTGAGCTCGACACTTCTGAACGGCATGAAAGTTCGAGAGTTCGAAGGTTTGGAGAGTTGAAAAGCTAGGTTTTGAAATGCGACAAGCTCGAAGGTTTGACGATCCGCCGATTCCGAGCTTGACAGTTAGACAGTTCTTGAAAGTTTGGGGGCTGTGTTTCAAAATGGCGGGGAAAGGGTTCAGATTGGGTTGTGAGGGTTCGCTGGGCGCTGTGTTTCAAAATGGCGGGGAAAGGGTTCAGATTGGGTTGTGAGGGTTCGCTGGGCGCTGTGTTTCAAAACG